GTAACGGCACCAATTATGGCCACAGTCAGGACCAGACTTGACCAACACTGATGCAGGTATAGATACAATTGGAGACAGTGTGCAACAGAGACGTGACCGACCGCCCGAACGGCTAACAAGTGGATCAGTGGCGATAAGGGTAAATTAAAGTAAAATGGTCAATATATTCTCGTGTCGACACTATTCCCTGACATGTTGATCAGTAATTTCGGCGCCGACAACACAACCCATGTCACTCCTCAAGTCAGGTGTGCCCCTGTATAGTATTTGTAATGCTTTCTTTTTTAATATAAGGGGGATTTTTATGTTTATTTTCCTTACATTTAATTTATTTATACTTTATTTATTTACAATTATTTTATATATTAATCTTCTCTTTTTCTTTAAAATTATAATTGTTTCTAAGTTTTATTCTCTAATTCTTAGATATAAGAACATAATAATAATAATAATAATAATAATAATAATAATAATAATAATAATAATAATAATAATAATAATAATAATAATAATAATAATAATAGTGGGTTTTTTTAAGAGCATGGAAGCCAAAAGGCTGAAAATATACAGTTACATAATTGGGGAAGGGGTCACTTGATTGACAAATAATATACAAGGAACATAAGTGATCACTTGAATCACTCAGGCTCTAAGAGCACATCAAAGCGGATGCTGACTTGCTGTGTGTTTGAAGTCCAAGATATTTCCACCAAACAAGAAAACACCACTCCCAATCAAGCCGACCAAGTACTGAGAAACCATTGCCCAACTTGACACGCACCTGACGTTTGACCTGACGCTCACCTGACTCGGGGTCCTGCCCCCCTCCTCGCCGCGTCTAGGCAAGTTTCTGCTGCCTCAAACTTACAACTCCCCACCGCACAAGCAATGTTTAAGCCACTGCACCTTTCCTCTCCTTCTAAAATTCGCTTCAATCCTCCCTTTATCCTTCCCCTGAACCTCCTTACCCCCTGTCATTAGCCTTTACATACCTTGCCGTTCGTTCAAAATGCCATTGCTGCTCTCAACATGTCTCCTAATAGGCCTACAATCCTGGTTGCTGATGATACATATATCCTCATTTTGCTGTGCTGGCAATATGAAACCGTCAACTCCGGGTATATATTTCCGACCAGAACCTCGTCATAGTGCGAAAAGAACTCCAAGGTGCTGGAATATGTCAGTGATGCGAACAGTACTTGGTCCACAGGTATGCGATAACATTGTTAGTGCACGTTATCCTGGGAAGTGACCCAACGTCTTTTTTATGTGGTGTTGGCAACAAAATATGTCTGAAGCTGTTTAGCACGAATAAGGTCTTCCTTGAACAAACACAAATATTCTCAAAACAGAACAGCAAAAGGGCGGAGGTAATTGCTGCAGGGTACAAGGCATTAGTTTAAATCTACAAAGGTCTCCCTAGAGATACATTGAACTTCCTCAGGTTTCAACGCTTCCACCAGATGGTAGGCAGTAGTACATCACTTGTGCCCCCCCACCTTCGTCAGCTTCTACCACATCACAGCTTACGTGTGTACCTGCACCTTACTTGTGGAAGTTTTGTATAAGAGAGAGAATTTGTGTTTTAGGTCCAGAAAGTCTTAACTCTCCTTACCTGCCTTCCTACTCCACACCCTAACTCCCTCCTTCCTTCGTACAGTACTCAGAAAATTATCAGTGTTCCATATTGAAATTCACCAGGGAAGGACAGAAGGAAGGTAATAATAGCTGCTGTCAGTGACTAAAACACAATAGTTTAGGTTACGGTACAAACGTTGACGTTTTCTTTGGTCATCTCCACACAGAAAAATTCCATGTTTCTTCAGTTATTTCGTAAAGTTATTAAGTTATTTGGTTGTTTATACCTTTATTTAATTATCTAATTGATTAGTTAAGTAAATAACTCGGTAAGAGGACACAGGAGAAACTTGGATGTTAACCAATCACAAGCGTTTCTTCACGCCTGGACCAATCACATGTCTTCTTATATATTGTTTTTCAATTTCAAGTTCAATATTTTATTCCTTGATAGAGGAAGTGGGATCCTAGTGCTGTCACTAGGTACCCCTGTTTTGTTTCTTCGATGTACCCAAGTGACTAACGTGGAGTTTAAGCGCCCAAGCCGCTCATTCTGCGGCACGAATGGTGTCAAGACCGAGTACGTAACGGGATAGATAAACAAGCGAGTGAAGGAAATCCACGATATGTCTGATATTGCTAAAACTGAGCCACATGCAACGTTTGCAGCATTCACCCATGGAGTCAAGCATCACTGGAACTACCTGATGCGCACTATCCCTGATAACAGACTTCTCCTCCACCCTCTGGGAGAAGTCATCAGGATCATTTTTATCCCAACACTTGTGAAAAGCCATCACTTAACCCCAGCAGAAAGGTCATTCCTTGCACCAGCGAATTAAACAAGATCCTACGCTCCATTATGACAGAACGGCAGCACACCCAAAGTGAAAAACTTGAACGACTGATGCAGCAATTGTCAGGGAACTTGAGAAAAAAAGTAGCTATAGCGCAGGAGGTGGGCGCCTCGAACTGGCTAACTACGTTAAGGATAAAAGCAAATGGCTTCAGCCTTAACAAACAAGAATTTACAGATGCCGTTGCTCTAACGTATACACTATGTGATTGTTTCACCTTTCTTTATAACAAAGTTGGCATAATTTATTGAACATGTTGACCACAATGTTAACAACAGCGTGTCCTTAGTGTAGCTCCACCTTTAAGTTGTAATAAGTTAGAGGTGACCTTCAGGTGATCCTTTTTGTCCTGGTCAGTCTTAATATTCAATCCCAACTTTTCTCCCAAATTTGTCACCGACTCTATGAAAATCGGCATCAGTTACTTGGCAGAAAATGTGATCAATCTGTACAGTACAAACTAATATACCGGATTCCTTTATATTGTGTTGTCTAGTAATAGGCAGACTGGGCTAATTAGTGAAACCTCAACTCTACCAAAGGCTGTAAACTGTCATTGTGACTGATGGTAATTTGTACGTCACATACACAATACCTGGCCACGTCACACGGCCGAGGACCAGAAAACTACCACAATCACCTGACTCGCTCCCCGTGACGTGACATGACGCTACTAGCTTGTGTTATATAACGGCAATATTATACGTATATATTAATGTGTATAGGATGATAGAATGAGTGCAATTAACAAACAGACCGATAGTAACTGTTGCGTACAATGAATCAATGAATGTACAGTACAACGTTGACAAATGGTTTATACACGAGACGATAGGTAAACGGGAAGGAGTGCAGAGGAATGTTCGGCACCTTGGTTGTGCTGTCGAGTATAAACTGGTGTCTAATATGGGGTAGGACTGATGAACCAGCTTCCTACATTGTAATTGTTTTCACTCTAATCGTGTTAATATTCCCTTATGTATCTTTGTTGTTTTTATACTCACTAATACCGACAATGTTTATTTATTCTCTGTCTGCCTGAAATACACGTTAGGTATTGTGTATTTGTTCAGTATTCTTACTGTATTGAGGGTTTTATTAAATTTGTATCGAGTTATTTTGAACGTGTGTTTGTAACTTTGTCGTGTACAGTGACCAGACACCACCCAACAAGTCGAATTTTAACCCTCGACCACGATATTACTGAGCAGTATCCGAGGCTCCAAACGGTTAACTTTTCTATCACTAGGCTCATACTCTATCCGATCCATTATGAAGAGAATTCCGCTTTTTTGTTTACTACCCAGTAAAGGAATGTGGTCTCCCCCAAATCTCACAGATACATTGGCTCTCTGAAATTAATGTTGCAGTTATTGTCATTTGGTTGTTGTGTTTTTGTCTGTGTGTTTTTTAGCGAGCCACCATCTGTTTTCACTAGGGTAGTAGTATCACCTTGGTCTCACGCGGTGTTGGCTGCCGTGTATATAGAGGCGGTACATAAGAACATAAGAATGGAGGAAACTGCAGCGGGCCTATTGGCCCATACTGGGCAGTCCCGTTTACACCCAACCCCTATTGCTCATATAAGCATCCAACCTATGTTTGAAGCTATTCAGCGTATTCGAGTTAATGATGATATTTGGTAACTTGTTCCATTCATCCACTACTCTGTTTCCAAACCAGTGTTTACCTATTTCACGCCTAAATCTAAATTTGTCTAATTTAAAACTATTGTTACGAGTTCGCTCCTGGTTGGATAGTTTGAGTACCTTTGTAATGTCCCCTTGTTTAGCCCTGACTTCCGCTATACACCTCGATCATATCGCCCCTCACTCTACGTCTCTCGAGGGAGTGCAAATTAAGATGCTTTAACCTGTCTCTATACTCAAGGTTCCTAATGCCCGGGATTAGTCTTGTCATTCTATTCTGAATTCTTTCCAATGATTCTATATCCATCCTGTAATACGGTGACCAGAACTGAACTGCGTAATCCAGGTGTGGTCTCACAAGCGCAAGATACAGTTTTAGGATGACCTCGCTAGTCTTGTAACTAACACTCCTTTGTATGAACCCAAGTACTTTATTAGCCTTGTTACGAGCAAAAACACATTGTTTACTTGGCTTAAGGTTCCTACTTATCATTACTCCTAAATCTCTCTTGCAGTCCGATTTCTCTATGGCATCGTTGTTCATCTGGTATCTGGTTTCTCTGTTTACATCTCCTATACTAAGTACTTTACATTTGTCCGCGTTGAATTTCATCTGCCATTTTTCAGACCATTCGAAAAATTTGTTTAGATCTTCCTGTAGTTGAGGTTGGTTAGCCAGGTTTAAGCGTTCACTATTTTTGCCATTGAATCTTGGCCAATTATACGGGAGGTCTGTTCTTCCATAGATTGCTATGTTATTTAAGGAATCTCTCTCTCACAGTGTCTTGGATGATCATTTGCCTCGGTACTGAAACCAAGATACCAGAATGTTCCCTTACTGTATATCTCTCTTGACCAAAATTAATCCCTATACACTCTAATTAAGATAATATTCAGGAATAACAAAAGGAAATAATCGATTTATATGATTATTATTTTTTGTAAGATAATACTTTCATTTTTCTTTTATAAATTCGTTAGTTGCAGAAGAAGACTCAATGTTCTGTGCTTGTATAAATACGCATATAAATACACATGTGCTAAGGTCTGATTTTGTTCTGAATATTAATTATCTTTATTTATTTATAGATGTCCACAATAGTTGCATATAATAAAAAACAATAACAGACACAACACATTAAAATAAACAATAATATATAAGACAATAACAAGGTGTACAAGCCACCATAATGAACTATTGAGGAACTTATTAAAGACCTGATGCGTCATATCTGGGTGTCTCCAGTACACAACCCTCAAATATCTGTTCAAGTGCCAAAACATAAGTATATCCAGTGCCAAAACATCTTACACTAAATTAAAATGGAGATTCAACTCCTCACTTTATAAAATATTTATTACTCACATAATGTTTATATTATTGTATACATTTATATTTTATTTTGGGGGCAAATTATACGAACATCACACACACACACACACACACACACACACACACACACACACACACACTACTGTCGTTTGAGTCTGAAGTGATTTAAGCCTATGTCATCAAGATCAGTAAACATGACTTAAAGTAACTGATTGACTTAGTCCTTGGTGTGGTTTGAGCCAGCCTATACCACTACCCATTCACTAACTAACTCAGTGAGTGGCGGTAATTCCCAAGACTCTTCACGTTAATTTGGAAGGAAATTCGGAGCCTATTTCAGATTTATTCAGGGGGGGAGAGAGCCTATTTCAGATTTATTCAGGGAGGAGAGCCTATTTCAGATTTATTCAGGGAGGAGAGCCTATTTCAGATTTATTCAGGGGGAGAGAACCTATTTCAGATTTATTCAGGAGGGGAGAGAGTCTATTTCAGATTTATTCAGGGGGAGAGAACCTATTTCAGATTTATTCAGAGGGAGAGAGCCTATTTGAGATTTATTCAGGGGGGGAGAGAGCCTATTTCAGATTTATTCAAGGGGGAGAGAGCCTATTTCAGATTTATTCAGGGGGGAGAGAGCCTATTTCAGATTTATTCAGGGGGGAGAGAGCCTATTTCAGTTCCATTCAGGGGGTTATATAGGTAAGGTAATGCTTTATGCGATGAGGTTATGTCGTGGTCAGATACAGGATTAACAAACAGAGGAACCTGATTACACATTTGTAAGGAAAGTTTTTGTTCACTATGTTATGTTAGGTTAGGTTATGAGATCACTTAGGTTAGGTTAGGTTATGAGATCACTTTGGTAACTTGATTGAAAAAATATAAAATTGTGCTTATCTTTGCGATGTTATTATTAGTGTACAAGTGAATTAATGAGGTATATAGCTATTGGATGAAAGGTAATGCTCTGTTGAGGTTGTTGTCTGTTTGTTGTGGTTGTTGTTGTTACTCTTACTCATTAGTCAGATATTAATTATTATTATTTATTCTAAGCTCTGAAACCTATGAAAATAAGTTAGTTAAAAGAAACATCTTATTATATAAATTTGAAAAGATAATACTGAACACTCGTGTCTTTAAGCCTTAGGAGGAACTTTTGAAAATTTGAGACAATACCAGAGTACAGTACGGTAGCTCTCTAATACCAGAGTACAGTACGGTAGCTCTCTAACACCAGAGTACAGTACGGTAGCTCTCTAACACCAGAGTACAGTACGGTAGCTCTCTAACACCAGAGTACAGTACGGTAGCTCCCTAACTCACTATCCCCGTAACGTTGACATATATTCTCTGGGGTTGAAGCCAGTAGGGAATGGATCTATGGTGAAGTATATAAAGAGGCCAATGCATATCCCCACCACCACCACCAGGTTTATATCGAGGAAGATCTTAGTACGGGGTTCTTCCTCAATGGAGTTTACCATTTGGGTTTCCTTTTCATTTGTATCTGCGGTGTGTGTGGTGGTCTGCAGTCCACAGAACCACGAAAAAGAGTTCTTCATGCACTGGAGGAACCTGTTGCTGGCGCCCTCGTTCTCTACCACTCCTTCGCCAGCCTCTGTAAAATGAGTTGCATGTCAGTTCGTTTTCTCTTCCTTTTGCATAGACTATCTGGTAGTTGTTAACATTTCCAGGTGAGGTATTTTATACACGGTGAAAGACACACTTCACATACTAAGAAAGGCACTTTACCATCTTGCGTCACGCCATTCGTCACAGTATCAAGAGGGATGTCCACCGTATAGCCAGTCCTCGGGTCTTCGTCGTCCTCCCTCTCAGACTTGTCAAAGCGGGTTGTGTATATCGTTCTGATCAGCTGCAACAGAAATGATCAGTTGTGAATATTATAATAGGAGCTGGTGCTTCTACTGTAACCTTAAGGGAGTTCACTACAGTTTTGCCTTCTGAAGCCAGTTTAGTCATGTTATGTCCTACATCTGATGGTACCTCACTCAAAGCGTCAAATGATATGATAAAAAAGAGTATTGACAAAATTTAGTTAAAACTTATGACCTCTGAGAAAACGGCTTAAACTTTGAGTGTGAAACAGGTATTATCGTATAAGACCAACATTTGAGAACATAGGAGAGAGTATATTACAAACCCTGTAATCTTCTGGTGGCTCAGTCAGAAGGGACACCACCATACCAGTGATGGCCGTCACCCAGAATAGCAACATGGCAAAGTACATGAAGTTCAGTTGAACTAAGAGAGGTCGGTCATCGTGCTCCCAACACGCTGGAGGCTGGTAGGAAAAGTCAACAGCCATGCGTATGGCCCCGACCACAAGGCCCAACATCAGAGCCCAGAAAGCACCTTGTTCGTTCATGCGTTTCCAAAGAACCGCCATAGTGTACACACAGGCGATGGGCGGTGCCAGGTAGGCCCCGATCTTCTGAATGTAAATAAAAAGCTGGCCACTCTGAACCTCTTCGATGATGGGTACCCACGCCACCGACACGGCCACCAGCACCACAATAAACAGTTTGCCAATGATCAACAGTTCTCGGGTCTTGGCCCTGGGCCGGATACGAGGCCACAGGTCCAGAGTAAACATGGTCGATGCTGAATTAAATATTGAGGTGAGATCACTCATTAGAGCTGCCAGCATGACGGCTAGCATGAAGCCCTTCAGTCCAGCAGGCATGATACCCACCACCAGGCGCGGGTATGCTGAGTTGTAGCACGAGGACTTTGAGCCACAAGCACGCATGCATTCCTCAGGAAGCACGCAGGCAACATCATCCGGAAAGAGCGCGCGGGCGATCATTCCAGGCAGAATGATGATGAAGAAGGGCAAGATCTTGATGTAGGCGGCAAACAGTGTGGCGCCCTTGGCATGAGACAGGTTCTTCGCTGCCAGTGCTCGTTGAATCATCATCTGAAAATAATTGTAGATTAAGTGCATCATTTTACCTTGCCGAGCCGTATACTTGTAGAAACAACTAAGAATAGCAGTCTCTTTATCTTGACTAAAAAAAAATGTCAACATGCTCAAACACACATTCATCGATAGTCTACCAAACACGAGATCAGTTCATACTTGGTCGGCACACCAGTACCAGATAGAAGCAGGTGTCTGACCCAGGAGGAAGGCGGGCCAGGGCAAGTCTGAGTTAACAGGGTCTCTGAGCATGATCCAGGAGTCCGCCCTCGGGATCCCGCAGGTGGAGTTCTCATACCTCAACTTGGGTACAGCTTGCATGTACCTGTACTGCAACGCCTCGTACCCACCCACCTCTTTGAAGGCTGCGGGGAAGAGCACATATCTTTGTAATATATCGCTCTTACTTGAAACTCTTATCATTGCTAGTGGTTTAAAGAAGTGTGTAACGAGACCTTCCACTAGACCAACCAACCTATGAACATGACGACGAGGGCGCCGCTGATCATAATGAAGAACTGGAGTGTGTCGGTGTAAATGACGGCAGCCAGACCTCCAGTCATGGTGAAGAGAGCCGTCAACGCCAGCAACATTATCATAGACCAATAGATGTTCCAGTGAAGAGCCTGGTTGATGAAGAGAGAGCCCGAGTACAAGTCCACCTGCAGGGGCGACAAAGTGGAGAGTGGGATTAGTGTGTCGAATTGTATAACAGCTTTTTAGGGATCTTATTCAGGTGATTTACGAGTACCCAATAAGGGAAACTAAGACCTTATGGTTATACTGTACTGTCATAACAAGAAGTGAAATTAGTGTACAGGATCTTTATGTCGGTGTACTGAAGAGGTTAAGTTAATGTGACTGAAAGTTGTTGTTGTATTGTCATTCGTCTACTGAAGAGGTTGAGCACCATCATCATTATGAATCAAGGTCAGGGTAGATTTTCAGTATAAGTCCAGTAATTAATAAAGACATAACGAGGTCCATTGGTCCACTCGGATTACCTTTAATGAGTCTCTCGTATTATGTTAAGTTATCAACGAATGTAAAAACTTCCATGAGTCTTGAAATTATCTTTACCTTTTCCGCTATCAGTTTACATTATCTTTGGTGAAGGTCTTTCGTTATCAGCAAGTTATAAACACGTGTACCTGGAGGCAGATGTTTGAGTCACCTGGCGCCACTTACCGAGATCTTGGTGAAGATGTAGAGGACGAGTGAGAGCAACGCCAGGTACACTTGTATACGCTGTCCCCCGAACCTCTTGCTCATGTACTCTGGCACTGTACACACCTGTGGATGAGTGTTATCACGTCAACACATAATTCAGAATAAACAACTTAAACACATAATGCTCTGTCGTATAAGGCTACAAGTAAGACTGACAGCACACTCCTATTGTCTGTTGGAAATGAAGTGTTTATGTCGCTCGTAGCAACTAACTGATGCTAAGCAATAAATATTTTCTCCTCATTTTGACATCCTCCTTTCTGGTCTCCTGGTATAGACAAAAACTTCAGACTGTTCTGTAGATGAACATGACAACACACCCAGAGCCACCATTGTTGTTGAAGCCCTGTGTGACCACGTTGTTGACACTTCAGTTGAGATCAGAAGATCGGCATTTGTTTTTTATAGAAAGTGTTTCACAACCGAAGATAAAAATTTACCACATTCTGAACACCAATATATATCCGATATACTCGTGAGGTTTTACTCCCTTCACAACTTATTTTAGAGAGAGAGAGAGAGAGAGAGAGAGAGAGAGAGAGAGAGAGAGAGAGACAAAGATAAGTAAAAGAAAGATACGTAAATAAACCCAGTGAGAATAGGAAGACAAACAAAGAGAGATCAAACGATTTCAACAAGAACAAATAAACAGATTTACAGAAAGAACAAAGAGGAAAACGAAAATAAATAAAGAGATAGAGTGTAAGACAAATTGTGAGAAAAGGTTAAATAATAAATGGAGAAAATAATAAAACACTGAAGAAAAGACAATCACACGAGGAGAGAGAGAGAGAGAGAGAGAGAGAGAGAGAGAGAGAGAGAGAGAGAGAGACTGGATCACCCTCTAATTAAGGATGGAACACAGGCAGGGAAGACCCACCTATCAGTTGTAGCAGATGATCGACTGTTAGGGAGAGCGGCCAAATTTTATTATTTATTATTATTATATCGCTGCTATTTATCGTTGGTGTTAACAACTACGTGCTCTTCTAATTCCACACGGCCTGGTTACCACACACCAGATGGAAGCCACTGGGGGGGGGTTTACTGGAAAATACCGCCACTGGTGAGAAGGAGAGTCAGTGCATCTCTATGACACAGATCGCCCTCTCGAGTGAGCCCCCCCCCCCCACCACGCGACCTTTACCTCGACAGATGTGGGGGGGCGGTGTTTACCGCCGGGAGTGTTTTCACCGCTGGCGTCAGTGCTGACGTGTGATGACATACCCCTCAGTACTGAAATATTGTGGACTAATTATGCCCACTCGTTCCTGCCTTATCTGGAGCAATAAGACAACGCGGAATGAAGTGTAGCTAAGAGAGTTATGAACTTTGTATCATGTCAGTATGCTCAATAATCAATTATAATTAAGATAAATTGTGAGTCTAACTAATTATGTATCAGATAGATCACCATGTAATACTAATGAACGCCTTGTTCTCTGCAGGTTTTGACCACATCAATAAATATTGAATGCGTCAAAAGGCGGGTTTCTATCATTCCCTTCAACTTGCCCGTCACCTGAACGTCCTAACTAAGGCGTTTACAATTATTATTATTATTATTATTATTATTATTATTATTATTATTATAATTATTATTATTACTGCATTATTATTATTATTATTGTCATTATTACTGTTTTATTATTACTATTATTATTACTGTTTCATATTACTTATTATTATTTACATATTGTTTTACTGACTTCAAATACACAAAACAAATGATGATGTCTTAATCCATAATAAAAGTTAGGTTGCGCTGACACCAATAATTAATTAAAGCAGCATCTCAGACTATCCTAAATGAAATGAAGGTTCTGATTAACGTTGCTAGCGAAGATGACGCCCCACTCTTAATGGGAGGCTGGCTATTGTTCCTCTCTCTCTCTCTCTCTCTCTCTCCATATAATTTTTACCTTACCATCTTGAGCAAAAAGGTTATGTTACCGGCATAAATGGGCCAAAAACCCTTCACACACTTCACTCATCCTCCCCCACTAATGTAAAGCACTCCTGGTACTGTACCAACATGAACGGAGAAGGTGTCTATATTTTCACATTTACCGATTTCAGTCACCTTCTCACTCACTCACTCACTCAATCACGCACTTACTCACTCAATCACGCACTTACTCATTCACTCACGCACTTACTCACTCAGTCATTTACTCACCGGGAGCCACCACATGTAGCGGCCAGCTAAGAAGTATCCGGAAATAGTCCCTCGATTAGGACGACAAAGCGACTGTAAAAGAGAAAGAATTAACTTGTTATTGCTGGCTGGGGTCAGGTACAATGTATACAGTGTTAGGTTAGGTTATTAGGCACGTCCTTTTATCCCTTGCAAGGCTAACTGTAAACTCATTATAGCGCAATAGGGAACCACGCGTAGTTAATGCTTGTCTTCTTTGACTTTAGGAATGAAACGACTCAAGTGCCTGAGGACTATTGGTTGTGCTAACACATAGGAAGGATTCTTTAAACAGGTTGATCAGTTTACGAGTGAGTGTGTAAGGCGCCTAATGTTGAGTAGCGGACCTGTTTGTAGGAGGAGGGATATTGGTCATGAAGGGGCGGCGTGATGGTGACGGCTGAGGATCTGTAGGAGAATGTTTAAGGACATGTCAGGAAGAGTCGTCCCTCGGGGGATGAGGGGCCCGGGACAAGTCGTCATGGCAGGGACCCCTTTAGACGTGCAGAAAGCATGCACACACACAAAAACAATAACATGCCTTTGTGAAAGAAAAAACAAATCCTGGCTTATTTTAATAATTACAGAATTAAAGTAATGGATACAGGTAGTAATTTTATAGTATTGCAACACAAAATATGGGAAGAAAATTAAAGAGATCCGTGACCCGTAGGTTGTATGTGATAACTGTTCTAAAAGTAATGAAAATAATTAAAATGAGATTGAGAAATACACGGCAAAAACATAAAATTTAAGACCCATGTGATATTATTGCATGTATATACACGGAAAATAATATATATATATATATATATATATATATATATATATATATATATATATATATATATATATATATATATATATATATATATATATATATATATATATATATATATATATATATAGTAATTTTTTTTTAACATAAGACAAATGCCATTAGGCAGTCTAGGTGTAATGAAAATTTTCTTGGTTACGTAAATAATAGGTAAAAAAAATTATAATATGACGTCTCCTAGAGCAATTGCAAAGTATCAGAAACAGCCTACTTTCGAAAATTAACCTTCCTTGCTTTCTTTCCAGCACACTCTAATATTATTTCCTTTTCGATGGAGAGCATAGGTAATCTACTCAACCTCTCTTGAGACCTAGTTGCCTTAGACAACTTGTTATAATTTTTTTGTTTCTTTGGGAACGAGTTTTCAGAGTACTCGAAGCTCTAAAAACAACTCGACTTCATCAATTTCGTGAGAGTTTCCAACACTCAATGACTTGTCCAAAGCAGAGTTGTACTCAGCTTGGCACTGCACAGCTGCTAATAATACTGTAGTACGTGTTAGATCCGATCACCAATGTTTCTTTTCTTTATTCAAGTCTTGTAACATACGTGCATCTATGGTATTCATTGAACTCGAACTTCTTTTCACTTCCATCTATTTGGTTAAGTTGAACAAGTGTTCATTTGATGATTCATGAGATTTTAGTCTTTCACTAAGATGTTTTCAACCAGCACAGATTTCTTTTAGTAGTTCATGTGTTGTATTTGAACTGTATAATTACTAATCAGGACAGCGCGAGGCCCCTGAAAACACGGGGCGTGAAAGCCGTGCCATCATCCACAAGTTTACAGATTCAAGGACAGTCTGGTGAGCCTGAGCCTGGGGTTGATTCTCTGTATAAAGGCGGCTGTCGTCTACGGGTATGCGCCATAGGGGCGTATTGTGTCACTTCCCTGATGTTTGAGATTTGTCCAGTGTTCGTCGAGATGGTTAAGGCAGAGGTCGAGGATGGCTTCTATGTTCCCTCCCGTGTTACTACTCTGGCAAGACGGTCAGCAGTATCACAAGCAGCTATTCTTATGTGTGATGGCATCCAGAGAAACTTAACATGGATGTTACCAGTTTCCTCTGACCAGGTGATGGTCACGAGTGTCTGTTGGACAACAGAGGGGGAAGAGGGGAGGATTTAAGCCCCACAAGCGCGGAAGTATTGTCCCTGATGATAGGGAAAGTCCCAAGAGGATGATTATGCTGCTGTGTCTGTGGAGGAGGCCCGGCCATGGACCCTGATCTCATGTCCAAGTGTACACACCCGAGCAGTTAAATTTCTTAACACTACTTGGGGTTATGGTCAGGACAGTAATGAAGTCAGGTCACATTATCCATAATTAGTAGGTCAGCGATGGATTCTAATCTTTTCATTATGTGTGTAATTGTTTTCGTTCGTTTTACTCACTGCAACAAACTGTTTCCTCATCAGATGTTTTTATCCCGCCGGGGAAGAGCAAAATACTTACGAGCTATAATTCAAAGAGATGCTTAATTAATCCTTGAACGACTTGGAAAGAGACGGACACAACTTTCACTGGCGTTACACAACATGCCTGCCAACTGTGATAGTTAATCTCTCTCTCTCTCTCTCTCTCTCTCTCTCTCTCTCTCTCTCTCTCTCTGCTTTTACACACTACATGTATTAAACTAATAAAGACAATCACAATATGAACAAAAGTCAGGTCAAATGTCTGAAAGGTGAGGTCAACTAGGTGAGGAGAGGTCACTTATACGCTGTTAAAACAATGGAAATGCGTACCGATAAATTAACATTTCATAACAATTATCATTACATGCAAATTAGTAGGGCATGTATTTAGGTATGAACATCTGTATGGTGCCGTGGTAACGCTCACTGTTCACACACAGAGGTCCCAGGTTCGACTCGTAACTAGTGAGGTATTGTTTGTTTATTGAAGTTTGGGTATTTATGGGCTGTTGAGTTTTATTGGTAGCCTCATGCTTTCTAGCCGGAGTCTGTAAAATGCTACTACGACCACGTAGCTGGCACAGGCAATCACTGTCTTGGCGCGCCCCCTTCACACGCGGAGGTCCCAGGTTCGACTCGTAACTAGTGCGGCATTGTTTGTATATCGAAGTCTGGGTATTTATGGACTGTTGCGATATGTATGCATACATACTGTATATATAAATACTATATATATGATATATATATTACGTATATCTGTATGGTGTATGGATGTAATAAGATAAAAGGTTTATTGAAAAGACAACAGCCAAGAGCTGATGATATACTGTTCAGCGAGTGACTGAACGGTGGAGACAGGCAGACAGCCCCTTCGTAAAGTACAACTCAATCGATAAGGATTTCTTTCATAAACTACCACCAAAATTTTTTATATGTGGCATATTGTGTATTTGACTCCCTGGGAGCCCCTGGACCCACAGATGAGTAACCCTCCCAGGGCCACGCGTCGTCGAGCAACTGGATACAGAATGCAATGTCACGTAGTATGGACAACCCACCTGCTCATATTGCGTCTTTGTTAATGCTTGAGCTTAAACTAGTTGTTGTGCACACTGCTCGCTGTATATATACTAGCAAAATTGCCCAACTTCACTCGGGTTAGGTATATACCGTACTGTATAACCTGGACTGGCATATATACAGGCAACACCACAACCACAATACACAGATACAGGCAACACCACAACCACAATACTCAGATACAGGCAACACCACAACCACAATACTCAGATACAGGCAACACCACAACCATAACACATTGATATGAGGCAACACCACAACCACACACTAGATACAGGCAACACCACAACCACACACTCAGATACAGAAGGCCCACAACCACAATACTCAGATACAGGCAACACTACAACCAGTACTACCTGATACAGGCAACACCACAACCATAATACATAGATACAGGCAACACTTACAACCATACACTAGAGATACAGGCACACCCACAACTACACACTCAGATACAGGCACCACAACCACACACACAGATACAGGCAACACCACAACCATAACACTCAGATAAGCAGCAACACCACAACCACAAATACCCAGATACAGGCAACACCACAACCACAATACTCAGATACAGGCAACACCACAACCACAATACTCAGATACAGGCAACACCACAACCACAATACTCAGATACAGGCAACACCACAACCACAATACTCAGATACAGGCAACACCACAAC